GTAGAATACACTTTCTACGTCTTTTCAAAACTTCTTCCTCTACTTAGTGGGGTCTTTGAACGCTCGGATTAGGGTAGCCTATCGTGTCACTAGATCATTTGTCTTTGCTCTCGTTTACCGATTAAGGTCAATTCCTAATAGTTCAAGCATATCAACTGGTGACGAGCATATTATTATCAGAGATGGAAATGGAGAAAATTTCGAAGTTCTATTATAGGCTGTATGATTTAAATTAAACTAATAATAAAATAAACAATTTAAAACTAAATATTTGTTCAATCACGTTGAAATACTGATTACATTCAAACTACGAACTAAACAAACGAATCATTAAAATCCTTTTCTTCTTCCAACTTAGTAGTTAACAAAAGAAATAGTTCATTTGAGATGTCTTGATTTAATTTGGAAAAATTGAATCACGTTATTTTTCCAGCTTTAATGTTTATAATCAGATTTCACGCAATGTACCTTATCACTTTAGCGTATTCTCAACCATAAAATTATGTTTATAGACCTGTTTATTGTTTACCGGTTGTAAGGTACCTTTTCTCTCAGATAGGAAATTTTCGTTTTGGTTCATTAAACTAAAATGGTTTTTACGAACGTGTTTAACATTTTAAAACATCGTGATTTACAGACTATCATTTATATTAAAAAACATAACAAGATTTCAGATTATTCAAAATTTAGTACTTATTGTAATTCAGTAATTTTAGAATAATCGTAAAGCGAAGATACACAAAAAATCAGTATACAATTATCAGTGAAACAATTTCATGTTTAATTTAGCAGTGATATGCAAATTTCAGTCTCGCTCCTCTAATTTAATTCAGAGTAATCGTCTAATACCCCCCGAATAATTACAGATATACACGCTTGGGGTTGTGTTTATTGGTTACCATTCAGTTGACTGAGTTACAGTTCAAAGAATTACGTTATGATTATAACAATTCGATAGATGAAACTCAATTTAGTGTAATTGAGTGACTGATAAGGAGTTTGAGTGAATTCATAACGCCTAACTGTTAATACATTTAATAGTATCAATCTGATCAAATTCCGAAGTTCATCGATTAAAATTAATTTTTAAGTCTCACTGAAGATATCTTGAGTTAGGCTGGCATTCTAGTTGATAGTAAGTAGTTCAGTATTTATCTGAAATATGTATTTCGCACGATCAATAATCACCTACATCCATAAAAAAAGTTAGCTGATTCATAGGTAACTTGAAAAAATGTTTTAGGCTATCAAACCAGAGCCATTCATCAGTTCACAGAATTATTGATTATGGCTCTGAAATAGCTTAGAATCAGTTTCTGTAGAGCAGATGAATTCAATAAATCTAAATCTTGAGTTACAGTATTTATATGTATACGTCTCTTTATTTCTAAAACAATTTGTCCCTTTTATAAATTTTGATAGAACAGTCAGAAGACGTAATTGATCTGAAAAATGTGATGTATTTGCGTTATATATTTTGAACAATCTGACCTTTTGACCTTTTATTCATCTTCATATAAAATGCCTTGACAAGTAAATATGTGTGATCAGATTGTTCGAAGTGTATACCGCAAATACATCACATTTTTCAGATCAATTATGTCTTCTCACTGCTCTTTATTCCTACTTTTAAAACTACATTGTGCATTTATAATTTTTCTCATTACAATTGATATTACATTAATTAGACTCATTTATTAATCACTTTGGTAATTTCATTTCATTGTGTTATTGTTAGCGATATAATTAGTGACATTAAAGCACATTTTTATCATATTCTATGTTGATAATGGCTGAATGACTGTGTATTTCTTTTAGTCTATCTTGAGTTTAGCCACTTTCATAAATTTTTATCTAAAAGTTGAAATAAATTATCCTGTACTTTGCATTAATATTGTTGAACTTCTATATAAACTTCCGCTTCAAATATACTCTTTTTATCATAAAGTAACTTAGAGGCAAAACTATATGCATGAATGATTATGTTATTTTATTAGTTTGCCCCATTAAACTCATTAAAAATTAATAGGATACACCCATATTTTGTTTGTAGGGTTAGGGTAAAAATGTATTTATTTTGAAAGGAATAATTTTTATTTTTGCAAAAAGCAGAATTGATAAACAAATCGATAATATTTATCAATGAAAATAAAAACACTGTGAAATTGATAACAAAGATAAATGTCTAATTTTCTATCCTACTATCTCGTAATTAAAGCATAACAATTCACATCATCAAAAGTCCTTAAAATATTATTGTTAACAAAAGTAAAATGAAGAAATCTTACTGAGTCAATGATTTTATAACAAAATGTTAGATGGCTTAGGATAGTTCAGTAGGAAACCTTGAAACTAGGCATAGCATTAATTACCATTCTTCATTAAGAAGTATCTTGATTCTGGAAGGAAATGGCTTTCCTTACCAACAGATATCATAGAATGAGACGGTGATATTGAGCAATTCATGCAAAGACTGATCTCATGATAACACATTCATTTCATCATAATTTTAAAGGTTAAACAGTTTGTTTATTCAGAGACAACTGACCATATGTATTTTTAACAGTATGACGTCTAACTAGTTTCTCCAATTGATAAATCTAACAACAAGCGTACAAGAGTAATTTGAAATCATTTCTTTCATGGATTTTTGTCGTCATTAATTAGTTATAACCGATATATATATATATATATATATATATATATATATATGCATTCAATAGGAAACAGTTCTAAATCTTTAACTACTCTGGTAGCTCCTACTTTCCCCATTCGGTTACACAATACCTCATGTCATCTTTCAGAAATCAATTCCTTCTTCGTTTTCAGGTCATTTGGAACTTAACTTTCTTACTCTCTTATTCTGTCACATTTTATGGTTGTTATATTACGGCACTTTCACTTGAACATAGATTCTCTAGAAACACGCCTCCATTTGTTTTAAAATATTTCTTTCACAATTTTCACACCTAAATACATTCGCTTATTCTTCACTAACATGATATAACGTATATATTGGTCATAAATAATTATTACTCTTGTTTCTAGGTTGTAAGCAAATGACAGGAATGTATGAACGAAATGATTTCAAACTAATCTTCTACTCTCGTAGTAATTGTTTTATTCAAAGTATGACATTCAACGGAAATTTTTTTAATAGGAGTAAATATGTCACGGATATTAAGGATTTAACAATGTTGTTGCCAGGATGCAGTCAAACTAGAAGTTAGGAACGTAAGCGTTTGAAGGTAATATTTGGAAGATGATTGGCATGTCGAGAAGAGTGCGATGTAAACTAGCTAATTTATTGTATAATTAGGCAGTTAATAAGAACAAAAAAAATTCTATTCATTTTTGTGTGAAATTTAAAAAATGAATGTATCTTGCATCATATGGAAAACACAACAAAAATACTTGTGTTTTATTTATTTACAGTAAACTCAAATAACCATTACGATAATGTCTTGACAATAAGAGAGATGTTGATGTAAGAACGTTTTCACTTTTAACTTCCCTTTATGATTCTCTTATAGATCTATGTTTTCAATTCTTCAGCGATTATAATGATAAAGGTATATTCGGTAGTGATGAATTTTCTATAGAAATATTTTTCTCCAGGAATGAGAGAGATTCCAAAATAAATTCTTAGCATTAATATAGTGGAAACTCAGATTAATGAAGCTATGTAAGAATATTCCTGCAATGTTAAAAGCGGATGACAGATAATTAGCCCTGAAAAACCGATAAACTTCTTCAAACCACTAAACTCTAACAGGTTTCGATTGCTTCACTTGGAAAATACTTTTGATTTATAAAAACTCAGTTCATTAGGTGAAAAGTGATTTCTAAAGCAGTCACTTTAGTATCAACACAGACTCATCATTATGCCATAGTTACAGAGCTTTTAACCATGGAATCTCACTTTCGAAAACACACTCCCCCTACTACTATCAAGGCAAACATGAATGATCATTTTAGCCCTAACATAATGAGTTAGCCAAATGACTTTCTCATTTCCTTATTTAGTCTCTACATACAGTTTTGATTTAGTACCTCAATGAGTCAGTCATATTTTAAGCATGTGTAGAGCCAGTGAAATGTCACAAAGTCCTGGATAGATCATCCGAAAGGTCGTCAATTAATATCAAACATTCTGCTGAACATCGTCAAGAAGAACCAGCGCGCATCAATCGGTTGCATGTGGTTGACAGAAGTATGTGGTAGTGGTTTCGCTATGCCTTTGTGGTAATTGTTCATACTAACATATGCTGTTGACTATGAAGAGTATTTATTCTAGCAAGTCACCTGGTTACGACGACTGTATAGTCCAGGTTAAGCATTAGCCGCAAGGCGTGACTTCGGCGAATGTTAGGAGATCACACCATTCCCGTCAAACTCGAGTAGACCCGCAACTATTGGCACAGGTCACATATCTTGGGGATTTACACGTTCATACCTAACTATATAAAGAAAGAATATATGAAAGTTAATAATGGCCTATACTAACCTCAGAAAATCTATTGATCACTAGTATTCAAACCGGAATTTGGTCATTTACCAAAATCTTTGATATCAGTAAAAATATTTTTAAGCTGATAATTTTTTTCTTAGCTTTTTCCCTGCGATGATTACGAACTAGGATTTCACCCTGTTTGGATAACTCCTGGTGAGTAGTGGTTTTCTTACTGATCAATAATTTATCTACTTAAGGTAAGTGAATGTATTGTGGAAAAATTTTTGTTTCGTAATGGTATTATTATCAGTCATTAAAATTAATTTCATTTGTTTATGCATTTTGAATTAAAAATAGCATGATAATAAGCTCTAATAAATAAGTGACTTTTTTTAATTTTTTTCTTCATCAGCTCGTATATACCGTAAACCTGAAATTGACTAAACAAGTGTATTCAGGATTATTAATTTCGTTAATAATAAAACGGTGAAATTGTTCATACCGAAAACAAATTTATATTCTCATCTCAAAAATATTTTTCGCTTACTTGTAAACATGTTCTTGGTGACGATGGTAGCTCAACTGGCAGTAATGTTGTGGCACCATATATAATCATTCCCCAGATAAAATTGACAGCGATCAATAGAGGAGTCGCAAGTGCATAATTATTGTAAATAAATTTCATAATATTTTTAAATGTGGGTGTGGTATTCGCATGGTTTTGTTTTTCATCACTGATTGATAAATAATCAGCTAATGTGTAAGGTTTCGCTGAACATGTATTTTCCTTATCCATAATTTTAGGAAAACGATCATTACATTTTGCCATTTCGTTTAGGACTTTAGCAGATTCTTCATAATTTCCCCATTGCGCCAAAAGAATCGGTGATTCTTGAATACAGTAAGCCAGACCAAGTGCACACAATATAAGTGGTGCTGTTGTGAAAAGTATAAAAAATCTCCAACTAAGTTTTGATACTGAACAACCCAGACCAACACCGGTTACGTATAGGGCAATGAACGAATCAAAAAAGCAAACAAGCAGTTGACCAGTAGGTTGGAAGCTCTCTGGAAGTACTTCTGATATCATTGAGCAACTAGCAGTCAATAGGCCACCAATATACAAGCCTGATATGAAACGTAAAGCTGCAAGCCAGCCGTAAGTAGGTGAAATAGCACACAACCACGTCATGTGAATAAGTGCAAGACAACATAAGATATTAAGATCTTTCCTTCCAAGCCTATCTGAGAGATATCCAATAGGCGGCGAACCTATGCATATACCCAAAAACACTAGTGTAGTAAGAAGTGCTACATAATCCGAACTCATATTCCATTCACAGCGTAACGTTGGTCCAAGAATTGCTTGAATTAAAGTTTCCATAGTGTCTGTAGCTTGAGCCATACCGATAATTACAATTACACGAACCTGATACCAGCCGAACCCTAGTTGGTCCAAAATAGTTTGGACTCCAGAAGGTTTAGCAGCGTTCTCGGACTCCATTTATTACATTAAAATAAATTCAACAAATAAAACCAGATGATCATAAACGATAAGTTTCGACTAGCCAATCAGCTATTTCAAAATCAAGGAAAGCTAATCACCATAATATGCTATAGATGACTCGTACAATCAATTCTAAACATAGTATATATTAAAAATAACATAAGCAGGATGTATATTGTGAAAAGAATTAGTATGATAACATTCAGATAAAACTAAAACATTATTGGACATCGAACTTTGAAGTTTTTAGTACCACAAACTTACTTCTTTGGTAACGCTGAATTATTTATCAATTATTTATTTAGTTATTTATTTATTAATTATTTATCAATAAACAATGGCGTGAACGGTAGTTTAAATGTTAAGTTACTTCTATGCTTTTGTTAGTATGCATCAAACGTGTCAATTCGGTCATACGTAGATGGCGGTGAAATGGTAAATACGTCTCGTCTCGCCCTTATTGTCGGGCTTTGTGGACTTATACACGCTGCCTTTTCAGCTGCACAACGTAAGTTTCTAGCTATTTATACAATCACACCCTATCGAAAACTTTAGATCGTTCATATATCCGTCTAACTGACCAAGAGTACATCTCGTTACCGATAGACGTAATCAACATTTCTCATTAATTGCAACCTATGTAGATTATTGTTCAGATATTCCTTTCCTTTATTGCTGCAAGCATAGGGGTTGTCGGTGTTTCCGGTTCTTTGAAAGAAATAGAGGCCGCAGCAGAATTTAGAGAGAAGTATGTCGCGATAAAAGACTAACGTATACTTAAGAACTTGGGATTCACTTGGGAATCATCCGTCCTTTTTTATCTTCCATCACCGCAAACTTCCTTGCTTATCGCAAAGCGCTCATTAGTGTTTTGTGTCCTTCCTGCAGTCCAATGACTTCCAATCCCCTTGTTACTGCCCGAGGACATACAGATTCAGTAACAGCGTTGTCACTCTCTGACAGTCTCCTAGCTTCTGGAGGTGAGGATGGAAATACATATCTCTGGTCTTTGGACGAAAGTCAGTTCCCCGTGCTCTCTGCTCCGAGACTAGATCATTGTTCTAGTCTCAAGTTTAGTGGAAAAAGTTCTCACCTTCTTTACAGTGCATATGGTCACCAAATTGTCTCATGGGATATTCGACGTATGAGTGAACCGTTTATCGTTTGGGAGGTGGGTTTATTTTATTATGGCTTGCCTAATCACCTCTCCCCAGGTCAACGACGATGAAGTCAACTCAATTGATTTTTCTGAGAGTGAACATCGTCTTTCGTCTGCAGATGATTCTGGGACTGTTCAGATTGTTGACGTGAATAATGGCCAGGTTATACGTACTCTTAGAAAGCATGATAACATATGTTCTTCAGCTAAATTTCGTCCAGGTCGGACCTGGCAATTGGTTAGTGGTGGTCTTGACTGCAGAGTTATCGTCTCTGATTGGAAAGGTTCGGGTCTCGGTGTAATCATTTTTGAAATGGATGAGATCGTTGGGTGTCCCGATGAAACCTCACAATCTGTCCCAACCGATTCTGATTGGCGCCATGAATCCAGCGCAAGTAGTGATGACAATGCAGAAATCGATTATGATAATCTAAATGACACAGAAGATTATGAAGCTACTTATGCGACTGGACAGTCCCAAATGGTTGTTGACAGTAGTTCATTAAGTCCGTCCTCTGGCGTTGGTTCTGAGTCCAGAAGTGAACACTCTGTTTTAAATGAAGATGAATTTCTCAGAATTACTAGTGACCATTCGTATTCACGAAGTCGTGACATGGAACGAAGCGTAAGTCATACATTGTGTTTCCGAAATTAATGTTTAAATGACCATGGGTCAACTACCAGTTAGCTTTTCTGTGATGAAATTATAGTAGTCAGTCAGTTACAACGTAAAACTTTGTACGCACGTACATTAGTTCATGTTGCTATACCACATTAGCACGGAGACAAATTGTCTGTTCAAATCCCATAGTGGTTGAGACAGTAGAAGTACTAGCGGTAATCGAGAAGATCGGGTTTCGAAGATAGTATCCATGAAGTATAATTCAACGAGATCACTTTAGAAATATAGGGGTGTTGAGTAATTCAGAAGATTAGAATTCTAGTATTCCCATGTGCTCAAACTGTCGACGTTACTAATGTTTATTATTTTTAAAGGACATAGGCAATAGTACAAAAACAGTAACATAGAAAGGGTATATATAAGATAATTTAAAAGGAATATGGTTGCATTATGGTTAGCGATCTAGAAACAGCTTTGTCTTAAGTCCTAGTTTTCAGTCAACCACTCAGTTACAACGCAGAACTTGGTTCGTACGTACGTAAGTTCACGTTGTCATACCACATTAACACAGAGATGCTATTGTCACTTCACATCCCATAGTAGTAGAGGTAGTAAATGTATTAGCGCTAATCGGAGAGATTATTGTTCAAAGATATCATTCAAGAAGTAAAGTTTAGTGAAATAAACTTGGAAAGAGAAAGATAGAAGAAATGAAGGATCTAGTGAAATAAACGTTAAAAGATGAAATGACGGGGAACTCTGAAAGTTATGACTTGAGAGAACACAAAGAATGAATGCATCTGTGCCATTGCAAACATTAGCACAGAGACGCAAATGTCAAATCAAATCCCATAGTTATAAAGATAGTAGAGGTATTAATGGTAATGAAGAAGACTAGGGTTCAAAGATATTATTCAAGAAGTATAATTCATTGAGACTAGGTTAGAAAGACAGAGGTAGAGGTGCTGACGAATCCGGTTTAGGATTTGAGAGAGCTCAAAGAATGGATGCACTTGTCAGTGACTTCATGGATTTCTGCCATGTTTTGTTTTGACCGCCCCTAGCTTTCTTCCAACCTACTCTCTCTCGTCGAGGATGTCGGTGGTTAGCCATACGTAACACATGTCCCAACCACCTCAACTGATGAAGTTTCACCACTTCATCTATTGATCTGCCATCCTTACCTAGTACTCGTTTCTTAACAACAGCATTGCTTACTCGGTTGTTCCACGATATACGAGCAATGCTTCAGAAACACTTATGGTTGAAAACTAGTAACTAACTAATATCTACTCTGACTAGCCGTGTTTCACAGCCATAAATTAGGACAGAGCGAACTGCTGTGCGGTAGACTCGTTTGGCTGGTAGACGGATATCTCGCCTACGCTATAAATGACGCAAGTTGGCGAAAGCCAATCGAGCTTTCTGTATCCGTGCTGAGATTTCGTCACTCACCAGGCTACCGGCACTGATGAGACTGCTGAGATAAATGAGGCGGTCAACATGCTCAACTGCTTCACTCCCTATCACTAGTTTAGGTGCCAGTACAAACCAATCCTGAAGCAACATTTTACATTTCAACAATCGCATCCCGAACATACTTGCATTGTAGCTTAGGGTAGTCAGGTGACTGCATTTTGTCAGCGTCTTCACAAAATAGAACTATGTCATCGGGTTATTCGAATATCCTGGTAGGTATACCAGAAGCATATCTATGAAAATATTAAACAAGAAAGGAGAAAGTGGACATCTTCGCTAGACCCCATTTGAAGTAACCGATTCTGATGACAGTTCACCATAAGCTCTCATTCGACCTGTAGTGTTTGAGTAGAGAGCCTGTATAAGGTTAACTTACTTCTCTGGTACATCTAATGACAGACACTGCCACAGAACCTCACGATCCACAGAGTCAAATGCCTCCTTACGGTCCATGAAGACAACTATTTTCGGACGCCTATGTATGTCTGTTCTAAGAGAAATCTCTTCTGAAACACTGATTTCAGCTTTATCAACAGAAAACGACTGGGTTTCGTCTATCTAATACAGGACCGGAACTGTTTTGTCATTTGTATTGCTATTGTAGGTCAAAAGCCTGGATAAGGCAGGAAAGTTAGGAATAGGGTTAGTGACCCCTTCCCGTAGAAATATAACTCTTTGAAAAACGCTAACCGTAGGCGAGACGTCCTTTTACTAATCCAAAGATGAGTCTACTGCGCAGCAGTTCTCTCTGTGCTACTCCATGGGTGTGAAACATGGCCACCGAGAAGTGGAGATATTCGTAGGTTACTAGTATTCAATCATGGGTATTTACGAAGCGTTGCTGTATATCTTGGGACTATCGAGTTAGTAATGCTGTTGTAAGGAAACGAGTACTAGGTAAGGATAGCTGATCGATTGACGGAGTAGTGAAACTTCAGCAGCTGAGGTGGTTGGGACATGTGTTGCGCATGGCTAACCACTGTTTGCCTCGTCGAGTTATGCTTTGTGGTGTAGGAGTGGGTTGGAATAAAGCTACGGTCGGCCGAACAAAAAGATGGCTGAAATCCATGAAGTCACTGATAATTGGACTGAGCCAATCAAATCAATGATTCCACTCAGATCCTGTATACGTGTTTCAGAGACGCAGTATACATCAGTGGCGTGAGATTCTAAAGAAAGCCTGTTGTTTTATTTGGCACAAGGTCCGGACATTTAAAGCTCCATGCAGTGTAAAGATGAGGTTTCGGGAGACCAGGAATAGCGTTTCTGGTACTCGCATCGTTTGCATTAGCGGTACGGGGTGATAAAGGAACGTTAGAAGAGTTAATCTTGGAGATAAGAGAGATTTTAAGGGGGGTTAGGAGGGATTTTTTCTCGCGTGCTGTTGACTGTATGAGGGCGGATGTCATTTCCCGTCTGCCCACACAGTGGAGGGGTGTTTCTTGAAGATCCTGAAAAGCAAGGTAGATTAGCGTTGATCTTGACATCCTGGGAGCGTGACCGCAGAGTCCAAGGGACAACTTTGACATTTTTAGGGTCGACCTTTTTTACCCCTTTCCTTCCTTGTGAGGAGGCAGTGTCTCTGCAGATGCTGGTTGTCCGAGGGAAACACCTTACTGCTGTCATACCCCTCTACGGTCAGTAGTAGGCCTTCGCCCTCAGACCTTGAGTTTCTGCTTTTAGTCTTACCATTCTCCAATCGACCTGCCTGGCACGATAGGACCTAAAAGAACATATATTCCGGTCAACATAGCTCGGTTGGGTCATCACGATAGGCAAGCCCAACCACTACGTCAAAGTAGTAGCTGCGGTCGGGAAGTAGCTTCATAGTTGTATTTTTGAAGCATTGCTTGTGTATCATGGGACGATTGGGTAAGCTATGCGGGTGTTAGGAAAAGGGAAGGGTAGTAGATCATTTAGTGAGGTAGGAGTGAACCCTATTAGCAGGTGTAGACTGACAGATACAACTCAGAACTTCGTACTTAAGTACATGAGTTCATGTTGCCATATCGCATCAGCATAGACGCGCAAATTTCAGCTCAAATCCAAGAGATAGCATAAGTATTAGCAGTAATGGAGAAGATTAGGGAGAGAAGATATGATTCAGGAAGTATAATTCAGTATGATAAATTTAGGAGTATGATGGAGATTATGAGGAATTCAGAAGGTTAGGATTAGAGAGAACACAAAGGGTGGATGCGCCCGTGCCATTGCAAACAATTCTGAGCCATGTCGTTCAGCCATTGGTGACTTTCGTCTCGCGGACCCCAACCAGATAGCCTACATCTATCAACATGATTCAGCAGGTGTAGGCTACCAGGTTGTAGTCCACTAGATAATAGTAACGGACGGCTAGCGACCTTGAATGACATGGCTCAAATGCATCCATTCTTTGTCTTCTCTCAAATTCCGGTCTTCTGAATTCTTCATCGCCTTTATTTTTCTTTTCTAAAATTTATTTCACTGGCTCCTACTTCCGGATTAATATCATCAAACCCTAGTGTTCTCCATTACTGCCAATACTTCTTTTACCTTAATTGCTATTGGATTCTGTCTCTTTGTGCTAATGTGGTATAGCAACTTGGTCTAATGAACGCACATACAAACCAAGTTTCATGTTGTAGCTGACTAACTGAACGAAATTTGTTTTCGCTAGCTAAATCAGAATCGTATCTAAAGAACCTAGATGTAAAAAGGAGGTACTATTGACCTTTATTTAAGAATGCCATATAAAATTTAAAGGTGGTTATCTTTCTCGGATGTGGTGTAAAGCTTAACATGCGCTTGATTTCCTAATACTTTATTAACATACATCACATGAGGTTACTGAATTCTGTTATCGTCAGTTTTTTCCGTATACTTCCAGACAAATCAGGACTAACTAACTGATTCTTCATGAAATGTTATGGCATAAGAAAATAATAACAACCACTTTTGTTTTACCTATGAATAGTGCTACCACTACTTTGACATGATCTGTTCATATTGCTATTTCGCAAATTCTTTTAAGTGCTTTGTCCATAAGTGCACCTATCTTTAGATTTATAAACTAATCTCCTGTCTTACAAAGCTTAGACAGTTTTCGTTGGTATCTCTACACTTTTCCACAACTGCTAATAGACTGCGTTTTCTCATTTCCCTACAACATTCAAAGTTTGTCAAATCAATCCTCAGTTTGTTTACTATTATATAGTTATCGATCAAAAAGTGTGAAAAATTAGTTACCAGCGCACAACTATTATGAGTTAACACTATTTTCAACTTTTAAATGATTTGAAAAGGTACCTGTATTTTTCTGGCAAATCATCCAAATTTATTTATGAATACATTCCTAATGATACACCTTGTTTCATTCGGAGTTATTTCAATAGTATACTTTCTTTTATTTAACCAGTGATAACTCAGTTATTATTATTGTTTTCTTATACTTATAAATCTAGTATGATTTTTAATAATTTCGTGTTCTGTCAACATCTGACTAGTAATAATATGTCTACTCTTTGGATATTTTATCAGTTAATTACTATTTTATAGGAGCAGTCACATGTATACGATCACCGCACACCATCCAATCATGTAACGTGGAGGTCCGGTTTGCCAATTAACCCTCCAATGGTTCATTCCATTGCTTGTTCAGGGTCTGGAGATTTCGTAGCTGCGGGGCTTGAAAGTAGTACAATCGAATTATTCGCGGGTGATGGCAAGCGTTTGAACCATTTAGAGTCACTCTACGGTCACACACGGGGAGTATCGGCTCTTCATTTCATTGACGTATGTTTGGATTTACATTGTTATTTATTCATACGAGTCCCGATTGTAACTTAACATGTTTTATTTCATAATAAGGAACAAATGGTTTCAACGGCAGTCTTAGTATACCTTTTCACGGCAAGTACAGCTTAAAGTCATTATCAAGTCCCAGGTTGTGGTTACTACTTCTTATTAATATAACCAGTTATTTTATATGAAGCGACTCAGCAATGATGGCCATATTTTTGTTGGGAATTCTTATTGAATTGATAATATTGGTTACATATGTTTATGCACTGAACTTAGGTATTTTGATCAAAGAATTCATGTTAATTCCTGAAAGAATACTTTCAAAAATTAAATAGGCTTATAACCACTCCATAGTACTAGTTTCTTTCTAAATGGGTTCTACATCTAAATACAGATAGTGATATTATGCTAGGTCTGTTTACCAGTATAAAACACCAGCAAATAATTTTGGGCTTCCACGGTGTGGGCAGCCGGGAAGTGATAACCGCCCTCATACCCGTAACAGCACACGAGACCAAATTGTTCAAAATCAAATTCTTCCTACATTCCCTAATACCTCTCTTATCTCCACAACTAACTCTTCTCACATTCATTTATTACAGTGCACAGCTAATGCAAACGATGCGAGTTTGAGAAACGTCGTTCCTGGTCTCCTTAAACCCCGTTCCAAACTACATGTTGGAGCATTTAATGTACGGACATTGTGTCAAATAGGGCAACAGGCATCATTAGCTAGGACTTTAGAATCTCGTTCCATCGATGTGTGCTGCGTCTCGGAAACGCGCATACAGGATCCGAGTAGCATCATTCATTTGACCTCACCTTGTCAAGATAAAGAAGCAGCTCGATTTACCCTTCGTGTATCCGGTAGCCCTGATGCTGCTTCTAGGGGCCTCGCCGGTGTAGGTATAGCATTGAGTCGTAGGGCAGAACAATCTCTCCTAGACTGGATCCCTGTAGATAGTCGCTTGTGCGCCGTCCGACTGAACGGGACAGTAAGGACTCGGAAAGATAGGGACACTCGCCGTTGCCTCTTCGTCATATCAGCCTACGCCCCCACTGACTGCAGCCCAGATGATGTAAAAGATGAGTTTTACAGAAAGCTTTCGGACCTCCTCCAAAAAGTTAAGCGCTCTGATATAGTAATAATGGCTGGTGACTTCAATGCACAAGTAGGTAGACTAAATGAAAATGAAAGACACCTAGGTGGATGTTACGGTCTCGCGACTCAAAGAACAGCCGGCTGCCCACACCGTGGAAGGTTGTTTCTTGACGAACCTGAAAAGGAAGATGGATTAGTGTTGGTGCGTGACCGCAGAGCGCAAGGGACAACTGCTTGAGGCCGGTCACGCACGGTCTTTTTATGAGAGGTATTTAGAGGATTAGCTCCGTTCTTAAAGGCCCTTAGTGGGCACCCTTACCCAAGGAGACGGAAATCCGTGAGTTAGGGGAGGTGTGACATTTTTAGGGTCAACCTTTTCTAACCCTTTCTTCTTTGTGAGAAGGCAGCATCGCTGCAGATGCTGGTTGTCCGAGGGAAACACCTTACTGCTGTCACACCCCTCTGCAGTCAGCAGTACGACTTCGCCCTGAGACCTTGAGTAGCTGCTTTTAGTCTCATCGTTCTCCAATCGACCTGCCTGGCATGGTAGAACCTTGAGGAACATATGTTCCAGCCAGTATAGCTCGGTTGGGTCATCACGATAGGCAAGCCCGACCACCACGTCAAGTTAGCAGCTACGGTCGGGTCCTACCATCGTGGGCAGGTTAATTGTAGTTGTGTTAAATTTACTAGAATAGTGGTTGGGTTCATGTGAATAAAGCACCCGAGGTCTATTTAAGTCAGAAGGCTCTTGACTAACCGGATATAAACATATTAGTTTGGTTTCACAATAAATTGTAATTCAGGTTCAGAATGACTGTCTGTGCAGAATATGGTTCAACCGACGGGATATAGAACGAAGTGGATATGTCTTGAATACTAATAAGTAATTGCACAAATCTCTCCAAGATGAAGAATCCTGGGTTAGTCTCATCAGCTCCACATCCGGAGATTCTTCACTTTTTCTCAACTTAGATATCTGTCTGATATCCCAAACCTTTGAGATGGTGGAGAAAACTTGTAGCTCAGGTGGATGTTTGTGGTGGTGTTTCGTTCTCTGAGCTGGTTGTTTTGGTTGTGGAGCTTTCATTGTTCCTCTGAACAACATCATCAGCACAAACTTCAGATAGAAGTGAAGCATTCGAATTTCTTCACGTTTGACCTGTAGCTTGTTCTGCTAACCTCATTCTTGATTAGATGCTGTTGACCTTTGACCTGTCGTTGTATGCAACCATGTTTTGATTGCCTCCCCATTTTAATCTGTTTCTTGATCCTGTGTCACCTATGATTTTCCTGATTGGCTGATAAATTGGGTCAATGTCGATGTGTTTGTTGATTGCTAATTGACCTGAGTGCCAAGCTTCTAAAAATTCTCTAGTGTTCTTTGTCCTCCCCCTACCCAGTATTTTCACATTGTTCCAATCAATGTGTGTCAATAATTGTCGGTGTGTATTGATATAAGCGAAGAGTTGTCGTGGCGTTTGACTGCTAATTGATGTTCACGTAAACGGAGCAGAACAGGTCGTCTACTTTGTCCTATGTAGTGTTTTTCACAGTTTGAGCAATTTATTTTGTAGATGATATTTGGTTTTTCTTCCTTTGTCATGTAGACCAAAGGACAAAACAACCAGCTCAGAGAACGAAACACCACCACAATCCCAAACCTTTCACTATTCGTAAAGTTTACCACTATTGGCTTAGGCTTCTGCCCTCTAGGGGATCTAAATTCTATAAGCAGTTCCATATCACCCACCTTTATATTCGGTTCAGGGTTGTACCATCTAGGTACTTACTGTAGTGTCGGAGAATGGGACCTATCCCGAATAAGTTTTCTAAATGCTGATTTCGTTTCCACCTATTGTTCCTTGTTGACAGGTATGCTTCTATACTGGTTGACTCGTTGCCCTCTAATTTTAGTAGTTTACTCAGCGTTAATAAAGTTCTTACTAACGGGCAATTGTTTAGAATCCTTTCGATCTCTCTTGGAGTTTTTTAAAGTACTTGGCTAGTAACCGGTAGTTCATCTATGAAACCTTAGTATCCTTTTTATTATTTAACTGATTCTCATACTCCTCTGTAGGTATTAAATGTCCAGTTGCATATACAACCTACGAGATCTTTCGCCATCTTATCGTGATTCCAGATGCCCCCGACCGTAGCTGCTAACTTGACGTGGTGGTCGGGCTTGCCTGTCGTGATGACCCAACCGGGCTAAATTGGCTGGAACATATGTTCCTGCAGGTCTTACTATGCCAGGCAGGTCGATTGGAGAACGATGAGACTAAAAGCAGCTACCCAAGGTCTGAGTGCGAAGTCGTAATGCTGACTGCAGAGGGGTGTGACAGCAGTAAGGTGTTTCCCTCGGACAACCAGCATCTGCAGCGATGCTGCCTTCTCACAAAGAAGAAAGGGTTAGAAAAGGTCGACCCTAAAGATGTCACACCTCACCCTACCTCACAGATTTCCGTCTCCTTGGGTAAGGGTGCCCACTAAGGGCTTTCAAGAGCGGAGCTAACACTCAAAAAACTTCTCATAAAAGGCCGTGCGTGACCGGCCTCAAGCAGTTGTCCCTTGCGCTCTGCGGTCACGCTCCCAGGTCTCTAAGACCAACACTAATCTATCTTCTTTTTCAGGTCCCTCAAGAAGCAACCTTCCATGGTGTGGGCAGCCGGGAAGTTATAACCGCCCTCATACCCGTAACAGCACGCGGGACCAAATTGGTCGAAATCAAATCCTTCCTACGCTCACACGTACCTCTCTTCTCTCCACAACTAAATCAACTCAAATTCCCTTTTCTTACTGCACCTCTGCTGCAAACGATTCGAATTCGCGAAATGTTATTCCTGGTCTCTTTAAACCCCGTTCTAAACTACATGTTGGAGCTATTAATGTACGGACATTGTGTCAAATAGGGCAAAAGGCATCTTAGCTAGGACTTTAGAATCTCGTGCCATCGATGTGTGCTGTGTCTCGGAAACGCGCATACGGGATCCGAGTAGCATCATTCACTTGACCTCGCCATGTAAAGATAAAGCAACTCGATTTACCCTTAGTGTATCCGATAGTCCTGATGCTGCTTCCCGGGGTCTCGCTGGTGTAGGTATAGAATTGAGTCGTAGGGCAGAACAATCTCTCCTTGAGTGGATACCAGTAGATAGTCGCTTGTGCGTTGTCCGACTAAACGGGACAGTAAGGATTCGAAAGGATAGGGACACTCGTCGTTGCCTCTTCATCGTATCAGCCTACGCCCCCACTGACTGCAGTCCAGACGATGTGAAAGATGAGTTTTACAGAAAGCTTTCGGACCTCCTCCAAAAAGCTAGGCGCTCTGATATAGTATTAATGGCTGTCGGCTTTGATGCTCAAGTAGGCCGACTAAGTGAAAATGAAAGACACCTAGGTGGATGTTATAGTGTCGCGACTCAGAAAACAGACAATGGCGGCCGTCTGTTGTAACTGTGCTCAGATAACCGCCTATTTCTAGCAAACACTAATTTTAAGCATAAGGAAAAGCATCTGTTGACCTGGCGACCTCCAAAGTCGTCTCAACGTTGGACTCAACTAGATCACATCGCCATCAGCCACCGATGGAGAGGTTCGATAAAGGACTGCAGCTCGTTCTGGAGCACATGCCTAGATTCAGATCATGCCCTAGTGCGAGCGCGTATTTGTTTGAGGCTTACTGGACGTAGGAAAGACACCGTAAGAAAGCCTCTTAGGGCTTTACTTAATGATAATAAAGCGAAAAATATATATATCAGGAACAACTAGAAAGACAGTTAGGCGACCATTTAAGCGATTCCCATCCGGATGCAGGTTGGAATGATATCAAAAAGGCTGTGGAAACAGAAGTGATACCTTCTAGTAAAGTTGACCATAAGGCTAGAATGAAGCCGTGGATCTCTGTAGCATCCACCGATCTGATGGATGCCCGAAAACTCATCCCGCCTGGCTCTGAACATGATGAAGAACGAAGTCAACTTAGGCGCAGACTGATAAAAAGTCTACGCAATGATCGAGAACAGTGGTGGGTGGCGAATTCAAAAGCGATGGAAAAGGCAGCGGTGATAGGCAACTATTTAAACTCATCGAGGAAACTGGCATTAGGAACCCAAGTGTGAGTGAGACTATTCCGGAAAAGGATGGTCTTCTTATTTATTCTCAATCCAGGAGACTGGATCGATGGGCAGAACACTTTAGGGATCAGTTCAACTGGCCTCGAGCCACTCTTCGGTTACCCACGATCCCCAGTCATCCTGAATGGCTAATCGACGTAAGTCCCCCCAGTCTTT